GTTTTTATGAGAGTATAACATTATAACATGATATAAAACTCAAAAAAGTTGATTTTACATGCTATTGCCCCTTTAACCTTGTCAGTCCTGTCAGACGTAAACCCAAACTGAGGCTGTTTTAAAAGCTTTTTATAAGAAGAAAGTTAATACTTTCTTTAAAATTTTCCCACARAACCCTGATCAAAATGGCCAAAATAGCTTTTTAATGTTTCTRGGCACTCTTGTCCAGATTGAAGTATTTCCTGCTCTGGCCTGTGGTGTTTTCAGAAACAAACTTCGTCCCTGTGAGGCTGAACTGTGAGTTAAAATGGTTGATTTGTTTCCTGCTTTGTGAGGAATGTCTACAGCTCAATTAGTCATATGGAGGGATTAAAGGGGCAGTACGTCACAAGTAATGACATCCAGTAGTCAAGTTAGAGATGGCAACCATCTCAGAAACTATCCATCTACTTCAGACCCTGCAAATTAACGGGTTTGTTAATAGATTATTAGATAAAAGTTTTGATTTGTTCAAAAAAAATTTTATCTACATGCAATGAATTTACTTTTGAGTTCTCGGTGCTACACAACCATCTTTAATGTTCATTTTAAATAAAGATAAGATAATCTTTATTGTCATTACACAGTCATACTTCGTATAATAGTGCAACGAAATTGTTGTGTTGTCCCACTGCGGTACCCAATGCCATACTAGAATACAAAGGATGAAGATAATTTAAATATGGTAAAAGTTTAAAGTGACTGACACGTTAAAGAATAAAAATGAAATAAAATAAATTAAAAAATTAAAATGATAATAGTACAATCTAGGGACTGTGTGCATTCAGTAGGGCTATTGCCCTGCTGTAAAAGTTGTTCCTGATCTCCTGCTGGTGGGCAGCAGCTCAAACACTCGGTGTCCTGGGTGTGTTTTGTCTTTTAGGATGTTGTGTGCCCTCTTGAGACGGCGGGTTTTGTAGAGGTCTTCCAGGGATGGGAGTGTGTCGCCAATGATTTTCTGGGCAATGCTAACAACCTTTTGTAAGGCCTTCTTGTGCGCCATGGTGCAGCTCAAAAACCACACAGAGATGCAATAAGCTAGCACACTCTCAAGACAGTCAGCAGCTCCTTCCTTAGTTTCATTCTCCTAAGGATCCTTAAAAAATGGAGACATTGCTGAGCCTTCTTCACTACTGTTGTAGTATTAGTGCTCCACCGGAGATCTTCGTCCAGTTGCATGCCCAGAAACTTGAAATTGGGCACCCTCTCAACACACGCTCTCCTGATGTGAAGTGGCTGCAGGTCAGACTTCCTCCTCCTGAAGTCGATTATCTCTTTCATCTTAGAAGTGTTGAGGACCAAGTTGTCTGTACACCATCCCACCAGCCTCTGAACTTCATGCCTGTATGCTGTCTCGTCACCAACTGTTATGAGTCCCACTACAGTGGTGTCATCTGCAAATTTGATGATGGTRTTGTCTGGGTGTAGGCTGAAGCAGTCATGCATGTACAGGGTGCATAACAGAGGACTCAGCACACACCCCTGTGGAGAGCCGATGTTAAGGCTGATGGCTGAGGAGAGATGGGGGCCTACTCTGACTCTCTGTATTCTGTCTGAAAGAAAGTTTCTGACCCAGCAGCAGGTGGTGTATGGAAGTCCAATATCCATTAGTTTAGCTATCAGTCTGTCTGGGAGTATTGTATTAAAGGCTGAGCTTAATCGAAAAGTAAAAGAGTTTCCAGATCAGGAGAACAGTGTTAGATGATCACCACTTGACATGGTTGATGTAAACGATGATGAGGATGATCGCTGTGAAGTATGATGAAGGTCTGACAAGAACATTTACAGCTCCTCAAGTGAAAATTGATAARTTGGTTCTCAGGAAAAATCTGTGAATAACCGAGTCCTCAAACTCTGTGATTTTTCAGGGTTTGACTGTTCAGAAATAAATAAGTTTATTCTTTGTTGATCAACTAAAYCAACCATTAGGGAAACAAGCAACTCCAGCACGTTGTTACTTTTCATCAGAAACTGTCTATTTCATGTTGTTTGTTTCTCTGACCAGCTCCATTCTTGCAGTGTTGACAGTTTTTTTTTATTTGACCTTTTATTTATACAGGTAGTCTCATTGAGATCCAAGATSTCATTTACAAGAGATGTTTCTTGAACTTGTAACAAAACACTAATTCAGCAAATAATTTATCTTCTCTTTTTCTATATTGTCTAACTAGTGAGGCTAATTTATCTGCTTCAAATGCAAAGCAGTTATAGCAAAGTATTATTGATTCAGTCTAAATTATTAATTCTAAATAATTTAAGATATGATTTAAGGATTAATGTGATTAAAATATAGATGTAATGGATTTTTAATAATAYACCATTTTGTTGTCATCACCAGCTGTAAGTGAGGCTAATTAAACATTTAAACTGTTGTTTAATTGTTGCTTCTCCAAAAGAATTGATATAATATGACTACTCTTTTTTTTATTTTGTGTATGTGTAATTGTTGCCCTATTCTTTTCTTAWGCGCTAAACAATTTTCTAAACTACTGTAGTCAAACGGGCGTGGTTTTTAATGTGCTAAAACCATCAACAGTCAGTTCTTTCTGTCAGAATGAAGAGTTTGTGAGTAACCACAAGGCTGCTGAACACAGATGTGTTTCTAATATGGTGACATAAATGAATGATGCAGAGGGTTAAAGCAGTTGGTAARCAAACCAGTTTCCAGTTATCTGAAGAGGAAGGGACCTGAAAGTATTGCGCAGAAATTGAGTAAGTGAAGTTTTGTTTCCGCTTTTAGGAACATGGAGGCCATCGATTCTCTGCATCGCCAGCAGAAGGCCTAGAAGCAGCCGGATTCCTCCCTGCCTCCACC